ACACCTCACCACTTCCCACTCCCAGCAGGCACGCACCACTTCTTTCACTCCACACGTACCCTTCATACTCCGACCCTGTATCAGGCAGCTTGTCTCTAGAGCATTGAGTGAAGTGTGCCCTGAGGAACAGTCTGCGGATGGGGTGCTTCCCGCGCTTGCACACCGCACCTTGCCACCCCAAGCCCCATTCACCCCTAGTACACGTACATACCCTTCATATTCAGATCCGGTATCAGGCATTATATCCCTCGAGCACTGGGTGAGGTGGGGTGCTGCACGCCCTTGCACACCTCACTTCCCCTTCCAAACCTAACTTCATTCACCTCTGGCATACGTACCCTTCATACTCCGACCCAGTATCAGGCAGCTTGTCTCTGGAGCACTGGGTGAGGTGCGCCCTCAGGAACAGCCCGCGGATGGGGTGCTGCACGCCCTTGCACACCTCCCTTTCCCACTCCCCATTCACACTCATTGTACACGTACCCTTCATACTCAGATCCAGTATCAGGCAATTTATCTCTGGAGCACTGGGTCAGATGCGCTCTCAAGAACAGCCCGCGGATGGGGTGCTGCACGCCCTTGCACACCTCGCTCAGGTCGCTCAGCACCTCCTTGGCCGGCCCCTCCTTGCTGCGGATATACACCGCTCCCACCGTGCACAAAAGGTATCTTGGGGGGGATGGGGGGGGACAGAGAAGGAAATGAGGCACCTTAAACCTCACTCAGGTCGCTGAGCACCTCCTTGGCCGGCCACTCCTTGCTGCGGATGTAAACCGCACCCACCGTGCACAGCAGATACCTGGGAGGGGGGAGAGAGATGAGAAAACGAGGCATCTCACACCTTGCTGAGCACCTCCTTGGCCGGCCCCTCCTTGCTGCGAATATAGACTGTCCCCACCATGCACAGCAGGTAGCTGGGGAGGGGGAACAGGGAGTGATAGCGGAGGAGGAAGAGAGTTTTGAGGGGTCTCAACAGCGCTCAGGTCGCTCAGCAGCACCTCCTTGGCCAGGCCCTTCTTACTGCAACAAAATTAATTGAAAAAAACAACAAATTAGAAAATAAGGCAGAAAGAAAGAAAACAATCACAGCCTTGGAACGATGTTGCCGGCATGCTGCACGAGCTCATAAAGGTCCACACAGCTGCGGCCCCCATCACACCACACCACACCACACCACCGCTACAAGCGGCACGCACGCTGCACGCAGGCGTCTGTTGAGGCGTGTCACGACTCACAGCCTTGGCACGATGTTGCTGGCGTGCTGCACGAGCTCATAGAGGTCCACACAGCTGCGGCCGCGCGTCTTGTTTGAGGCGTCTCTTGAGGCGCGTCAAGACTCACAGTCGCAGGGAGGTGGCAAGACTCACAGCCTTGGCACGATGTTGCCGGCGTGCTGCACGAGCTCATAAAGGTCCACACAGCTGCGGCCGCGCATCTTGTGCTCGTCCCAGAAGAACGCCTCCAGGTTCTGCAGCTCGCCACACACCACTATGTCTGCCACGTGGAAATGCGGGCATGGACGCATAGCATACAAGTTAGGTAGGCATGGTCAAGGGCCGAGCCGACCGCAGCCCCTTGAGGTGACGGGCCGGCCATTTCCCGGAAAACGAAATGGTACCAACCATCTCGATATTGAAGAGATTGGTACCAGAGAGAACGTGGTAGGAACGAAAAGGGTACAAAATGATTCAGTAAATCAGTACTAAAGAAGTCGGTACTACTACCAAACACGGTACTGTTTTTTTAGAATTCTCAGAAGTCGGTACTACTACCAAACACAGTACTGGGAAGATCACTCTTGAACGACCCAGCCAGCACTGCACACGAATACGTACAGAGCTCGTAGTACTTTTGTGGTGCAAGCTTGGAGGTGCGCAGCTCAGAAAGCATCTGTGCCGAGTACTTGAGGGCCTCCCGTAGATTGCCCGAGTCCTGTGAGTAAGTGACGCATGTGAAGGAACGCAGGGGAGGTGAGGACAGCATGGGATGGGAAGGAAGGCAATGGTTGGTAGTGATTGGATAGGGAGGGAAAAGGAGCATCTGTGCCGAGTACTTGAGGGCCTCGCGTAGATTGCCCGAGTCCTGAGAGCCAGCACGGAAGGTGTGAGCAGTAAGAGGGACGGGAAGGCAGGGGAGGCAGACGGTTGTTAACTTGTTAGACATTAGAGAGGAGGAAAGGGAGGAACGGCACGGGGTACTTGAGAGACTAAAGTAGACCCAAGACTCAGTGAATGCGGCGCGCGCAAGGTCAGGCGGGATCACCACGAGGTGTGGGAAACGAATCTTTGAGACGTCTGAAAAAATCACTCATATCACGAGGTCAGGCGGGATCACCACGAGGTGTGGGAAACGAATCTTTGAGACGTCTGAAAAAATCACTCATATCACGAGGTCAGGCAGGATCACCACGAGGTGTGGGAAACGAATCGGTGCCAAATCGAGACTGCAAATTTTGTAGACATAGGGGTCTTCTCATGGCTTTAGTAAGGCTATGCTACACGACAATATCTGTCAGCCACCTGTGACACAGCTCACTGATTGAGTTACAAGTGCTCAGTGCATGTAAATTTAGAGAGCGGACTCACGAGTGCTTGGCGCATCTAGAAGGCCTGCTGCTTGACCACGTTGAGTGCATCCGCCAGCCATGAAAGATTGACATGACTCGCACTAGAGATTGACATGTAAATCGCTCACGAGTGTTCTGTGCATGTAGAAATAAAGAGTCGGCTCACGAGTGCTCGGCGCATGTAGAAGGCCTGCTGCTTGACCACGTTGAGTGCATCCGCCAGCCATTTCTCCTGCTCCTCCGCTGCACTCAGCTTCACCTCCACCACCTGAGAGACAGGGAGGGAGATGGAAGCGCATGAAACGGACATGAAACTGACTGTGAACCGCCTGCTTGGCTTGACCCCCGCTGCACTGTGGACTCTAATGCATCGCCAGCCATTTCTCCTGCTTCTCCGCCGCACTCAGCTTCACCTCCATTAACTGATAGGCATAGAGTCAGAAACAATGAAGTGTAATGGACATGAAACCAACTGCTGAAGGACTGTTACGGACGACAGCTGGATCATCGCTTAGTCAATTCCCTTGACCTTCCGCTGCACTCAGCTTCACCACCACCGTCTGAGAGGCACACGGAGACGGAATGACGTTTAACGGACATGGCAGACGAATGAAAACCGAAACGAAGTCGATCCGAAAGGTGAACAAAAGAGCACGAGCTACGATGCAAAATCAATGATCGATGGAAGGCGAATGGCGAGCGTGAACAGCAACGAATAAGAACTTCAGTGAGAGCGCGAAAACACGCCGTTTCTCTCAAGAGCGCTGCTGAATTCAACCACAAAAACCAGGGTCCAATGTGGGGCTCGATTTACTACAGAACCGTGCACGACGGCTAGTCGCACGGCGATCAAACAAGTGAGCAGAAATAAAAACTAAGCGACGGTTCGCTAGCCTAGCTAATCCCACTGATGTCCATTCGCACCTTGTTCACCATGAGCGCGACTCGGAGCTACGAGGAAGCTCCGTCGAATGGTCAGCCCAAACTGACGGAAAATCGACCGGTTAGACGTACGGACTGCAACAAGACTAATCGAATGGTGCACGACCAACCCGATAACGAATCGGCAAAGGAAAAGCGACTCGGAACGAGGTGCGATAGAAGATAATCAAGTAATATGCCACTCCAGTTGAGCCGCCTACAAATCGACGCGCGTGTACTATGTTAGCGACTCGGTATCTGGATCATGCAGCCTAGAATGCTGGAAATCGGATGCAGCAAGTGAGAGACAGAAGAACGCTACTAACAGGTATTCACAGGCTGCTGGGGGAACACTGGGAGTGTTGGAGTTACCGAGGCTGAACCAGTTCTGAGAGCTTATTCTGATATCGTGATGTCAAGTCGGGTGCAGTCAAACTGGCACCAATCCGGAGATTAGCATATTGTCAAGCGATCAGGCGGGAAAAAATGTGACGCTAGCTGGTATTATTTGACACCAAAATGGTACCAAGAATGTCAAAATGGCATATGTGTTGCATAGAGCTCGATCTGTAGACGCGTTCCTGCGCAAAAACAAACAATCTGCTACGCCCGAGTTCCAGCATTAGAGGGAAACTTTCAACAATAAAACACATGAAGCTTTAGACTAGACTATTCTGAAAGAAATAACTATGAAGGTAAACATCAGAAGATGCATTGTTAGATGCTGCAGTGCTTCACTTTTACAGCAATCTGACTGGTACATCAGCATGAAAAACCAGCAACACCCAGGACTAGCTGGTAAAACTGTGCCGCGATAATGCCTTTTTAGAAATCAGAATACTCAATCTACCCCTTTTCAGGTGGAAGTGTTCGCGGAATTGCTCCGTCCATTTCCTCTTCTTTCTCAGGTATTTTGTAGCCAAACTTGCGTAGGAAGGTTAAAACGCGTACAGCCCGTGATTTCGAACTGTGTCAGCCTTTGGCGCCAAAACATCCTCTGCGCTGCGACTGAGGCTGGATCATGGCTGCTGCACGAGTGAGACGCCTTTCCTTCAACAAGCACTCCCGTTCGTTGTCTCCCGTCGTCTCCAGTTTGATGTATAAATGCTCCGCGTAGCTTTTCATACAACGATGGTCGCGAATCGCCACTTCATTGCGGATGTTGTGAAACCCTAATCCTGGAAATTCGTATGAGCGATTTTTTTTTCCTGTAACCGATCTCGAATTCCTTACTAGCGAAGGTTAACTCAATCCTCTCTCATCGCCTTGCACGATCATCGCCCCCTTATAGCGTTCCCCGCCGCGAAATCTAATCTCATCTGCCCGTTACTCTTGAGCAATCTCGAAGTTCCATTCTATATCCCCTTTATTACCCTCCCCATCCACCATCCGCTCCCCTTTTTCCGTATCCCCAGCGCGCCTTCGCCGGCCTGAAGCCAGAAAAGGTCTCTGGGTGGCGAGTATTCGACGCTAAGGACCAGGTATGCTGGCAAAGACTGGGCACGCTAATGATATGCGCGTAGGACCAAGATATCCCTGTACGATGCTTGGTTGCCTGGCCTCCAGCCTTGCAGCGGTGCCTCAAGGAAAGGACAAGCCCATCTATGCTCCTTGCTGCGTGCATGCGTCCATGCACCACCCACCCCCATTCACTCCCTGCCTTCCCACCTCCCCAACTTCCGCCCTGCATCCCTGCCATGCAAGTGCTTGGTCGTCTGGCGGTCAGGCTGTCAGTGGTGCTGCAGGGGAAGGACAAGCTTATCTACTCCCAACCACCCCCGTTTACTCCCTCATTCTCTGCCTCTCCTCCACTCTCTGCCTCTCCCACTCCCTGCCGTGCAGGTGCTTGGTCGCGTGGCGTCACGGTTGTCAGTGGTGCTGCAGGGAAAGGACAAGCCCATCTACTCCCTATGCTGCTTGCATGCATCCATCATCTACCCACCCCCATTCAACCCTTCTCGCCCCTCTCCGCTTCTCCCCACTCCTTCCCATGCAGGTGCTTGGTTGGTCGCCTGGCGTCACGGCTGTCAGTGGTGCTACAGGGGAAGGACAAGCCCATCTACCCGCCATGCTGCTTTCGTGCCTCGTCCATTCAACCCCGCTCGCTTCTTCGCTCTCTGCTTCCCTCCCTCCCTGTAAATTAGGTGCTTGGTCGCCTGGCGTCACGGCTATCAGTGGTGCTGCAGGGGAAGGACAAGCCCATCTACTCGCCCAGCATCGACAAGGGCGACGTGTGCATCGTCGTCAATGCAGGTTAGTAGCCCTCAAGTATCCTATATTTGGAGGCTAGTACCCCCTTAAGCAGACCTGTATCTGCAGGGGAAGGACAAGCCCATCTACTCGCCCGGCATCGACAAGGGCGACGTGTGCATCGTGGTGAATGCGGGTTAGTAACCCCTGAGTAACCTATATCTAGAGTGTAGTACCCCCTTCTGCAGACCTATATCCACTTTTAGCTTCCATGTAGGGGCCTACCTATGCTGGAATCGGCATGGTTGATTCTCGCAAGTGAGCTTTGTTGTTTGAGGGCCCTTGGGATGAAATGCTTGGCACACTGATTCCTACTTTCGAGTTGGCTCACAAGTTATCTCTGGTTGTTGCATTTGTCCCTGTGCCTGTGTGCCTGTGTGCCTGTGTGGCTGTGTGCCTGTGTGCCTGTGTGCCTGTGATAATTGTGATGGTTGTGATGGTTGTGATGGTTGTGATGGTTGTGATGGTTGTGATGGTTGTGATAATTGTGATGGTTGTGATGGTTGTGATGGTTGTGATGGTTGTGATGGTTGTGATGGTTGTGATAATTGTGATGGTTGTGATGGTTGTGATGGTTGTGATAATCGTGATGGTTGTGATGGTTGTGATGGTTGTGATGGTTGTGATAATTGTGATGGTTGTGATGGTTGTGATGGTTGTGATGGTTGTGATGGTTGTGATGGTTGTGATGGTTGTGATGGTTGTGATAATCGTGATGGTTGTGATGGTTGTGATGGTTGTGATGGTTGTGATGGTTGTGATGGTTGTGATGGTTGTGATGGTTGTTGTGATGGTTGTGATGGTTGTGATGGTTGTGATGGTTGTGATGGTTGTTGTGATGGTTGTGATGGTTGTGATGGTTGTGATGGTGGTTGTGATGGTTGTGATGGTTGTGATGGTTGTTGTGATGGTTGTGATGGTTGTTGTGATGGTTGTGATGGTTGTTGTGATGGTTGTGATGGTTGTTGTGATGGTTGTGATGGTTGTTGTGATGGTTGTGATGGTTGTTGTGATGGTTGTGATGGTTGTTGTGATGGTTGTGATGGTTGTTGTGATGGTTGTGATGGTTGTTGTGATGGTTGTGATGGTTGTTGTGATGGTTGTTGTGATGGTTGTGATGGTTGTTGTGATGGTTGTGATGGTTGTTGTGATGGTTGTTGTGATGGTTGTTGTGATGGTTGTTGTGATGGTTGTTGTGATGGTTGTTGTGATGGTTGTGCATGCATGAATCCATGTGTGTTTGCATGCTTGATTTCATGTGTGTATGTGTACCTGATTTCGTGCAGATAAGATTGCAGTGACGGGTGACAAGATGAAGCAGAAGACATACAGATGGCACACAGGGTGAGTGGGCCGCACACAGGGTGAGTGGGCGGCACACAGGGCGGCGCACAAGGTGAGTTGGGCGGCACACAGGGTGAGTTGGGCGGCACACAGGGTGAGTTGGGCGGCACACAGGGTGAGCTGGGCGGCACACAGGGTGAGACAGATGGAGCACATAAGGTATTGGCGTTTGGATGGATCCATGCAAGTTCATCGGTCAGGTTCGGACTCAGAGCGCGCAACTCTCAACGACCAGATGTCATTTCTCAAGGACCCTGAGTGCAATTTCTATGTACGTCACATCCACTCATGCACCGACTGACACATCTTGTGAGCACGTATGCATCTTTGCATGCCCCTGCACACATGCATGCATGCATGCAGGCTCACAGGTACATCAAATGGCAAAGGATGGTTGGTTACACGCATGTGCACGTCTCCATCATTCCCCCTTCCATACACAAACGCATACCCTCAGGTACATTGGAGGGCTGAAGGAGCGAACGCTCAAGGACCAGATGGCAATGCTCTGCATGACACATGTATGATGTATCCACCCCCCTTGCCTGTGTGTATGCACGTCCCTCCCCAGGTACATCGGAGGGCTGAAGGAGCGAACGCTCAAGGACCAGATGGCAATGCTCTGCATGACACATGTATGATGTATCCACCCCCCTTGCCTGTGTGTATGCACGTCCCTCCCCAGGTACATCGGAGGGCTGAAGGAGCGAACGCTCAAGGACGAGATGGCAATGCTCTGCATGACACATGTATGATGTATCCACCCCCCTTGCCTGTGTATGCACGTCCCTCCCCAGGTACATCGGAGGGCTGAAGGAGCGAACGCTCAAGGACCAGATGGCAATGCTCTGCATGACACATGTATGATGTATCCACCCCCCTTGCCTGTGTGTATGCACGTCCCTCCCCAGGTACATCGGAGGGCTGAAGGAGCGAACGCTCAAGGACCAGATGGCGAAGGATCCCAAGGAGGTCATGTGTATATATGTGCACATCTCCATATACCCCTGTACGCATGCACATGTGCATGTCCCCAGGTACATTGGCGGGCTGAAGGAGCGCACTCTCAAGGACCAGATGGCGAAGGATCCCAAGGAGGTCATGTGTATATATGTGCACATCTCCATATACCCCTGTACGCATGCACATGTGCATGTCCCCAGGTACATTGGCGGGCTGAAGGAGCGCACTCTCAAGGACCAGATGGCGAAGGATCCCAAGGAGGTCATGTGTATATATGTGCACATCTCCATATGCCCCTGTACGCATGCACATGTGCATGTCCCCAGGTACATTGGCGGGCTGAAGGAGCGCACTCTCAAGGACCAGATGGCGAAGGATCCCAAGGAGGTCATGTGTATATATGTGCACATCTCCATATGCCCCTGTACGCATGCACATGTGCATGTCCCCAGGTACATTGGCGGGCTGAAGGAGCGCACTCTCAAGGACCAGATGGCAAAGGATCCCAAGGAGGTCATTCGCAAGGCAGTGCTGCGCATGCTGCCGCGCAACCGACTCGTGGATGTGAGTGGCCTTTTTTTTGTTCAACTCAAAAAACAGATTCTGCACACGCTTCCCTGCAATTGACTCATGGATGTGAGTTGCTGCAGATGGGAATTTTTTGGGTGGCAGGTTGACAGGCTGATGGGAGTTTCCTTATTTTCAGGGTCACAGTAAGTTGCCTCACCCGTTCGAGAACACACTTGTAATGGAGGAGGCAGTGCCTTCACATTCTCTCTTTCTCCCCGCGTCCTGTCCCCCCAGCCACGAATGACGAAGCTGAGGATATTCGAGGAGGGCAGTCACCCATTTGAGGACATTCCTGCGAGGGAGGAGGCGAAGCCTGCCCAGCTCCCTCACCTGCTCCCACCTCCCAGAACCGTACTGTACCACCAACCATCACTCTTCCTTCTGCGGCTCAGGGAGAGACGCGCTGCTGATAAAGCTGGTCGCGCTGCTGCTGCTGCCAAAGGGCAAAATTCGGCTGAGCAAGAAGCAGTGGTGGGGTACCCAAGTGTAGGCTTAGGGAACATTCCTGCCTTGACACTTGTGTCTCAATCCCGCTTTTCCCGAGTCGCGCCTGTAAATTTGCCCATTTACGCGTCACAAAAAACGAATGTACCGCGACATTGTGCGACCCAGAGTGTTGGTCATTTGGCGTCATGTTATTGGGCACACCCAAATTGACTCGAGCGCACTCATTTTGGCGCCGGGCAGGCAGGTTGTACCAGGGACAGCAACTGATGCTGGCCCGGGTGGGTGAAACCACTACCTAAACAGAGGCACGATGCAATCACAACTACAAGTACATACACACTCTGTCGCATGCACAGCACTGCCTCCGCACAAATCAGGCATGGCAGAGCCCAGGGATGTTCCCTTCCTCATGCGACTCCTAGTCGCATGGATCACGTTCTATTACAGCATCTTCATGGACGTGGTCTCCCAAGGGGTCAGCGGCTTGTTGGAGTCGCATGTGTTGGACGATGACATGTCGTCGACCGCGACCTCGCACAGCTCCACCAGGTCAGCCGAGCGTGCAAGAAGGCGCGGCTTGCGGCGACGGCGTTACCAGCTTCTGCTAGAGGACCTGCAGGGAATGGGAGACGGGGAGTTGAGGGACATGTACAGAATTAAGAGGGCTATTCTCGACTATGTGGTTGACGGCATGAAGTACTACATGCAGCCTTACGTGGATCGGTATTTTATTACCCACGAAGTGGCAAACCTTGTGCCGATCAAATACCTGGCGAGTGCACCATCGTACATGGACCTCTCTCACCTCTTCGGGTTGTCGAAGACCTTGTGTCACGAGCTCGTCGACGTGTGGCTGATGCAATTCTGTTCGGTCTTCAGACAGCAGTGGGTGCACTTCCCCACCTGCGACGACCTTGACGAGATGGCCGAGGAGTTCCGCGCTGTGAAAGGGGTACCTGCGGTGGTGGGGGCTATTGACGGGACACACGTACACATGAAGGGGATGGAGGGTCACAGGCAAGAGTACTGGACACGGAAATCGGCTTACGCCGTGCAGTTGCAGGTGACGTGTGATGCTCGCAACATCATCTGGGACTTCCTGATCGGATACCCTGGGAATGCACACGATCAACGCGTGTTCATGGACAGTGCGTTACATGAAAGGTTGCAAAACGGCGACATAGCGCCGTATCAAATAGTCGGTGATGCAGCCTACCCCCTTCGGGATTTCTGCTTAACCCCCCTGCATGCACCCCGCGAAGGCCTAATGGAGGATTGGGAGCAGTGCTTCAACTACTGCCAGAGCGCGACGCGCATGGCTGTAGAGCGCTGCATCGGCGCCTTCAAAGGCAGGTGGAGGCTCTTCGCAGGCCGCAATGACTGCAAGCTACGGCGCGTGCTTGCAGGGGCGTCTTATTGTGTAGTCCTGCACAACATGTGTGAGACGATGGGGGCGTCTTATTGTGTAGTCTTGCAGGCGCGTCAATGCGGCGTGGGCCAACTTGCCACGGAACAGGGATCCTTGGTGGACCCGCGGCGCAGTAGCAGATTTCAAATGGGAGCCGGTCGTGCCATGCAACCAGATGACACTGCGTGAAAGGCGTAAGAGGCTCGGCGAAGCATTGGAGTCATCTTACCTTACTCGGCGTCGCCGCGAACCCACACCTCCTCGGCCTCGTCCGGAGTAGCTCCGACACCACCGGCCTCACCGCGACGCAACCATCCTCCGTCGTCGCCTTCGGCGGCGGTTGGTGCGGGCTGGGTGGACGCATCCGCGGGGACACCGTTGACACCTGGTGGCGATGGGGCCGGCCCCTGGTTGCGGGAGCGGGCAATCTCGGCGTCTTGCTGCATCCAGGCGCGGACGAGCCCCTCCAGCTTTGCCATCGCATCCGCGTGGCAACCCTTGATGGTGTCGGAGACCAGCTTGGCCGCGGCCATGGTAGCAGTCTCCGCAACACGCGGGCGCTTAGAGGGAGGCGTCACCGGAGGGGGGGCTGCACGTTCACAACGCAAATGCAGTTATCACATGGCCGCTTTGTCATGTTGTTGCTATGATTACGCGTTGTCATATTGTTGCAGTTAACACACGCACGCCTTGCCGGAAGTGTTGTTGCTAATTTGCGCAGTGAAAACCAAAACGAACAAAACCATTAGACAACAAGATGACTCACCCGTGAATGTCGGCGTAGAGGTGCATGGCGTGGACGTCGAAGGCACCGCGAACCCGCACGGCACGTTCACGTGTGTGGCCCCACCGGCGGCGACGGCGTGCGGCGCAGCCACTGCACGGTTGTTATGAAATAACTCCATGTACGGCCACCACGGCGGCTTACATACCACACCGTTACCGGACGCCTTGTCCGCCTTCTGCAACTGCTTGAACATGGAGACGAGGTTGCGCCACTGCTTCTGCACGGCGTTGACGCCGCGGACCCATCCAGGATTTCCGGACTCAATGTGTCGCACGAGGCGGGCCCAATACTGGGACCCCTGCTTCCCCAGCAGCGGCTCTAGCTCATCCTTCATGAACCAGCGGGCGGCCACGAGGATCGTGCTCTCCCGGGGCGACCACATGCTGCGCTTCACCGGCATGGGGTCGCGGGTCTTTGGTGCGCGTCGAGGTGGCTCCCCACCCTTGGCGGCGTTCTTGACCCCCGGTGCCGCCTTTGCAGGACCGCGGCGAACTGGCAGAGTAGCAGGCTGCGATTCCTCCGGTGCGTCCTCGTCGTCGGTCCCCGCGTCATCGCCATCTTCGGCGGCATCAGAGTCGGACATGCCCTTGTCCTCCTCTTCCCCGGAGTCCGCTTCGTCGTCGGTGTCGTCGGCCTCCTCGTTGTATTCGGCGTCGTCGTCTTCCTCTCCGTACGTGTTAACTTCAGGACTACTCGATGATGCCACCCAGTCAGCGTGACGGCGCCCGCGGGTCGGGACGTCACGTGGGGCTTGGTAAGAGGTGTCGCCACGCGAAGGAGTTCCTACTGGCTGCGGGCCAGATGGCTTGCGACCTGCGGACAGCTGCTTGTTCATCCAAGCAATATACGGGAACTCATTGAGATCCCGCGGGCACACGTCGGCGGCTTCAGCGGCGCTCTTACGCTTACGCGCCATGGCAGGCAGAGGGTTTGAGAACTAGCGAGAACGAGAAACAAGAAACACGGAAAGGATGGTGAAAAAGATGGGCTTGGATTCATCCTGGAAGCAGGATGGAGAGGTGGCTCAAGATCTGGGGTGGTTTCGTCGGGCAGCCTGGCGTGATACACCAGCAAGGAAACCCCATTCGAGGCTGCCCATGGATGGCGGTTTTGTTTCCCGCGCTAAACTGTCATGTCGTCAAACGTCCAGATGCATGCGGTCGGGCAATGCAATTTCCCGACATTGGTCGTTTCGTGCGATTTCAAGGAGGTGACGGGGCCTCGTCCAACTCGTCCGCGACACCAGCGCAAATAGCGTTGGCCAGTGTAAGGGTTACAATCGCATTACAGCGACACGCGTTTGTGACATTGCACGTTTTATGTTGTTCTTGCGCGTCACAATACTTTTGAGACACAAGTGTCAAGGCAGGAATGTTCCCTTAGTGTTCTCTTCAATGAGACATGTTTTAACTTTTAGCTAGAGCTTTGTGTCACAACATGTTTCGCTATAATGCAGTATAGTACCACTGAAAGAGAAAGCCTTAGATTAGGTTGAGGGAGGCCACTTGCTGATAGAAATGGTTGCTTGCTAGCTACATAGTAGAATCGTTTGTTCTACACCTCTACTCCCTTGGAAGTGAACATTTGTGGTTTCATACCTGATAGCATAGCAGCACGTACTGTATGTGAAGTTGTTGGGCTGAGAAAAGCCCTTAGGATCTTTGCAGGACTAAACTCTGAGTAGGACAATGATGTAACAGCGGAAGCTTTTAGTGAAGTGTTTGAACCACCTTGCGCTAGTATGTGAGGGCAAAGTAGATTGATTAAAACAAAGAGGTACAAGCTTTTATAAGAGTACAAGGGAATATGAAGGGTTATAACTGATAACTGTTTTTGCAGTTGCTGTTGCGGTTTGATACAGTGGCGACTCGGGCAACTGCTCAATAGCGAGTCAGTTGTTTGTCCTTGCTGTCGCGCTGTACTTGTCAGGTCAAAGGTCGCTGACCTTTGACTTTCGCGTAACCTCCAGCAGTTGTTCAACCTCCGAGGGTTGACTCGCCAATACTTCGATATGTTTCGCTTCGTTTCTGTCTTGGTGTTTCGACACGACAGAGGCGCTAAATCAATTGTTTCCAACATTCCCCTTCGCTTCTGGAGTGTCGTTGCTGGTGACGTGGCTTTGTCCAGTCAGCAGCATGCAGTACTCGAACTTCTGCTTCCCGAGCTTCTTGGTCAAGTAATCAGCTGCCATCTCGGACGTGGGACAGTAAGACAGCTCGAGTCTCCCCTTCTCGATCTCGTCCTTTACGAAGAAATATCGCAGGGCGATATGCTTCATCCTGTTCGCGAATCCATTTTTGTTGGCTATGCGAATTGCCGACTGGTTGTCGCAGAACAGGGAGAAGCTGGGTAACTAAGCCAGCTTCGCCTCCTCCAGAAGTTCGCGAAGGTACAGTCCTTCCTTGGTGGCTGAGCAGAGTGCGATATATTCTGCTTCAGCTGAAGAGAGGGCGATTAACTCCTGCTTGCTTGACTGCCACGAGATGGGTCCGATAGGTTCGAGGCGATAGATGTAGCCGGTGCGCGAGCGTCTGTTGTCGGAGTCGCCGGCGTGATCGGCGTCGACGTAGCCGATTAACTTAGGTGTCGAGGTTCCGTTCTTGTGATAAGTCAGGCCAATCGTCGGAGTGCTAACGAGGTAGTGAATGGCGCGGTCGAGCTCCGCCATGTGTTCTGCCTCGGGCCTTTTGAGGTAGGTGGCGAGTTGACTTGCAGAGTACGATAGATCCGGGCGGCAGGTGACGGCCGCGAAGAGGAGGCACCCCAGTTTTCTCTGGTAGTCGCGTATGCCTGCGGGCTTGAGTAGAGTGGAAATTTCCTTGTGATTTCCTGCGGTGTAGCGGTAAGGCGTGGAGATGGTGATCGGGGTGAGTCCGAAGCGTTTGGCGATAGTGTCGGCATATTTCGCGGCGTTGAGGTAGATCGCGCCTTCTTCTTCCTGGATGTTGAGGCCGAGATACTGCGTGACGGTGGACGAGAATGTGAGCGTGAGGTCTTGTTGCAGCTCCCCTTCAAACCAAGTAGTGACGTCGGCAGTCGAGCCGATGTAAAGCAGGTCGTCCACGTAGACGATTAAGAAGATGTAGTCGTCGCCTTTCGTGAGCCGATACATGCCCTGGTCGTGTGGTAGCTGTCGGAATCCGATGCGAGTGAGTCGAGCGTGTAGATACTGCTGCCACAGTCTTGGAGCCTGTTTGATACCGTACAGGGACTTTAGTAGCTGACAGACTTGGTTGGGCTCTCCGTTGGAGCCGTGTGGAAGTTCGACAAAGATTTCGGCGTCAATAGGTGCGTAGAGGAATGCGTTGGCGACGTCAATTTGCCGCAGTTTCTTCTTCTTCATGGCGGCGATCGCGAGGAGAATTCGTAGTGAGGTGTGTTGGCTGACCGGGGCGAATGTCTCGGTGAAGTCGCGTCCGTGCTCTTGGTCGAAGCCGCGTACGACCCAGCGCGCCTTAAACTTGTCGATGGTGCCGTCTGCCTTTGTCTTCACACGGAAGACCCATTTCCCGGTGAGTATTGTCTTGTTTCGTGCCACGCCGATGGGAACAACTTTCCAGGTGTTCTGTTCTTCCAGTGCTTTTAGCTCCTTGTCCATGGCTTCGCGCCATTTTTCCTTATGCTCCCCCCCCAGAGCCTGCTGAACTGTGGCAGGCTCCTTAGGAATCTCCGTGCCGTGGACCGCGGTGACGAGGCCGAGTATCTGGAGGCCACTCTGTGTGTAGCGGGGAAGTGTTGTGTCCTCGGGATAAGCTGCTTCATCACCTGCTTCTGGGTCAGGTATGAAGTTGGGCCCTATGCGTTCTGCTTCGTTGGTGTTGACTCTTGCAGGTGTAACGTAACCGTTGTCGGCGAAGTGGTAAAATACTTCGGCGTTGGTGCTGTCACGAGGATTTTCGTCATCCATTGGGACGTCGACGGAGCAGTAAGGGAGAGGTCCGGCTTCCTCCGAGGCTGCATCCACGTTCTGCTCGTCCCAGTCAGCTTCGTCTGCTGCCGAGGCGAAGGCTCGGTCACCACGGAAGCCACCTGTGGGGTCCCGATTTTCTTCCAGGTTGGCAAGGTACGTCGGAAGGGTGAGTCGTTCGTAGAAAATGACATCACGTGCTGCTACTGTTTCCTTGGAGTGGACGTCGAAAATCTTCCACGCGTTGTAATTTCTTTCGATGCCCAGGTGTAGTCCCCACTGTGCGCGTTGGGAGAATCGGTCGGCTCATGAAGATGGGGGTCGGTACTGTACCATGCAGCCAAAAACTCTTAACATTTTTGTGCTGGCCCTATTTTCCTGTCCACAGCAGGTGTGGTGATGCGTTGTTCGGGAGTGATGATGACGAGAGCAAGTTGTGCAGCATGACAGCGTGGTCCATTACTTCGGGCCACTGGTGGTTGGGTAGCCGCATGCCACGTAGCAGCTTGCGCATGGTGTTCTGAAGAGTTCTGTTCATCCTTTCTGCTACGCCTTGCTGCTGGTGAGCGTAGGGAAGAGAGATGAGCCTCTTTATCCCTCTTTCTGCCAAGTACTGCTTGAACCTTTGTGAGGTGTATTCTCCTCCTCCGTCTAACTGTAAGCTTTTTAGCTTCACGCCCGATTCTCGTTCTGCTACTGGGAGCCAAGCGACGAAAGCTTCGAAGGCCATGTCCTTGCTCGGAAGATTGAGATGCCAGACGTAACGTGTTGCGGCATCGATGAACGTGATGGTGTAGCTGTATGCTCCTTGCCCAGGTTCGCGGTTGTACAGGATGTCGCTGTACACTTTCTCGAGTGGTGCGTAAACTGGTGCGCTGGGGTTGTGGTGAGAAGCGAACGGCCGATGTGGTAAGTCAGCTTCTGGACAGGTAAAGCATGTTCCGCGAGCTCGTCGAAGTTCGCTTCCGTCGGTTAGGAGCAATGAGTCTGAGCACTCCTGCTCTAATTGTGTTGTTTAACACCGTGTTGCTTGGATGTCCCATTCGTGCGTGCCAGATATCTTCGCCTGCTCGATTTCCGGGTGAGCGACGGTACAAGTCGGAGTTGGAGTAGAAGCTTGCGGTGAAATTTGCGCTCCGATGTACTTCTCGTGGTGTTGGGTTCAGTTGCTGCGCAGGAGTCGGTGGAGTGTCGTTGTCGATTGGAGCTGGTGCACTTGAAGGACACGTGATTGGTGCCGATGCTGTCTCTGCTGATGCCGATGTTGTCTCTGCTGCTGCCGATGTTGTCTCTGCTGCTGCCGATGTTGTTTCTGCTGCTACCGATGTTGTCTCTGCTGCTGCCGATGTTGTCTCTGCTGCTGCCGATTGAATTGTTGCTAATGCTCTCGTTCGTTCTGCCTCAGGGATGGTGTGCATGTACCAGAAGCCTTCGGGACTGAAATTGGGGTCGAGATCTGGTGGATGTGTCCAGGAGGTGAAGGTGACGATCCCATCGCTGTCAGCGGTGCCAAGATCTGGGACGAAGTCGAGGATGAAGACGTTATTTTTCAGGACCGCCTTCCCGATGTAGAGACCGCCCTTCCCGTGGTATAACTTGAATTTCTGTGTTGTGCTGTCTGCTTCGAGGTGGATGCCTTTCGCCATCAGTTGACTGACACTCAGTAAGTTGTAGCCGAGTCCCTCCGCAATTAACACTTTTGACATTTGCAGTATTACGTTTGTCTCTCGTGACTGAAGTTGCACCACACCTTGTCGTCGTGTGCGCAGGTTCTGGTTGTTGGCGACGGTGATGACGACTTCGCGTTGGAGTTGGTGTTTGCGATGAACAAAGCGTCCTGAAGAGCACATGTGTTGTCCGTAGCAATTGTCCAAGAACCACGTATCTTTCCCGGACGGCTCGCTTTGAGCGATGGCTGCATACGTCGGATTTGGTTGAAGTGACTCGCGGTGAGGGGTGCTGTTGTCGAGTTGCTCTTCCGGTGAGTAGTGTGGTGGTGACTCGGTGAT